CAAAGCCATGCTGCAATGACATGCTACATGGCAATGCACACTTGTTTTTACATCGTAAAAACCCATGTCTAGTTATTATTATTATTTAATCTTTTTTATTGTTTCTAAAAATAAATTGCAAACACAACAGCACTTGTAAAAAAGTTTTCATCTGCACAATTGTGCAGAAAATGTCTCAAGACACTGCAGTGAGTATGCCAAGCTTCTATAAGATGTTGTAATGCTGCCAGGAAAATGCATCAGAAACAGGAAATTAGGGCTGCATGGTATTAAATTACTTTGGGTTGATGATAATTGTAAATATTGTGATGACAATATCAGGTATGAAGTCTTTTTTCCTCTTTCCTCCCTTTCTAATCTGTACCTTCTACTCTATGTGACCTTTAGAATTTTTGTTAATGTCGTTTGCGTCTGCTGTGAGCTTTTGCTGCTGTTAAGACTCTTTCCTGAATATTGCATCAGCATGAAAATCAAGAAACAGCGATCTATTGTCCAGCCCTACAGGAAACAAGACATGGAACATGCACATAAAGCTTATATGTTGAAGAAACTGTATGTATTATAAAAACTGTCTGTGGTTCAAACTGTAAACAACAAAAATAGAAAAACAAGGACGGTGAATTCAAAAGTAATAAACAAACAAAAATGCAGGACAGCACTGACTGGGACTTGTATCAGTCCAAATACAGGGACATAAAGAACATTTTTCAGGCCTGCCCACACGGGGACGACACGAGGGAARAGTCRTCTCATAATGTTCAAAMATGKTTTCATGTATGTTGTACTTTTTATGTGTGCTGTTTTGTATTGCTAAGAGTTCACTACAGTGCTATATTTAATCTTTTTTCTTAGTGCAATAAGTTTATTTTGCACTGTTTTATTGAAGGCTATCAGACTTGTCTATTGACGTAACACAATAAATGAAGGCTGTAGTTGAGAAACTAGCATCTGCAGCACAAACATGCGTGTAATCAGTCATTATCGTAGTTACATCGTCACACTTGGGGTCGTGGAGGGTGTATGAGATCATTTTAAAAAAATGTTGCTCCTAAAAATGTTTCCACGTGATTGCACTGCTAAAACAATTACAAAAATATTCTAGGAATTCACAAAAAAACACACCTGTGTGGTGAGGCTCTGAGACCACAGACTGGTCAAATTATGTTGTTCTGGATCAGTGTGGTTCAAGCTAGGGCTGCCACAAACAATTATTTTTATAGTCGATTAATCACCGATTATTTTTTCGATTAGTCGACTAATCAGATCAAACGTTAATTGAATATAAAACATACAGCTTATCACGCCAGAATGCAGCTGCTATTATATAACCATCGTTAGATTTTAGCTATATGCTAACTAAAAATAATTGCTGTGGAAGGCAAGTTCTGCTCTGCAGATTAGGGGTGTAAGAAAATACCGATACACTGAAATATCATATTTCATTTCCCGATACTGTATCGATATTCTAAAGCTCTGTATCGATTTTTTATTAAGGTTTAAAATGTCAACTTTCCTGCCAGCCGTTCA